GTGGGAAGCGCAAGGAAGGGAAGAAGGGAGCCGGTGTGGCTCGTCTGCCGGGAGGTGGTGGAAGGAAGGAAAGAAGGGGCCGGAGACGCTCTTCGCTCCGTGGTCTCGGCGTTCGCCTCTCCCTGTGGCTAGAAAGGGCGGGAGCTCACCCTTGGCTGTTCGTCGGTGGGGCTCGCCCCCGCTGTTCATGCGGGTCCTGGGCAGGGACCCCGTAGGCTTGGAGGAGGAGGCGGAGATCCAGAATCCACCCTCCACCCACACATCCTAACGGATGATGCTCGACTCGATTCGTGTCACTGGTGAGTAGCAGCGTTTTCATTTCTTGCCTCGTCTGGTGCATTCCGGCGGTGGCCTCTGCCGGCAAGTTTCTGGTGCCCACGATGGTGTCTAGAGGCGCAGAGTGATTTTTGCCGGCCAGGCTTCTATTGTGCAGCCGCTTTGCCTCAGTCGTTATTCCGGCAGCGGGATCGGCATGCGGCCGGATAGTCGCCACCCAGTGTTTTCTTCCTCCTCCTCCTCCTCCTCCCGCTTCTGATTAGCTGGGGCATCCACCTGCACGTTTAGAGTAGAAAGCTAGGCCTGACTCAACCCTACCTGTGCAGGCTTACAGCAGGGGAAAAAAAGAAGTTATTCTGAATCCAGCAACGATAATGGAAATCTCCGGAGTAATTGATTTGTTCCTTGAGTACCTATGGATATCTTCACCCCCACGTGGCTCTTGGCTTAATTAAAAATGTGGCGAGTATGTTATAGTGGTGGTTAAAATAGCATCTTTTCTGTACCCGTCAATACTTGAGCATAGGGTTAATGGCAATGCTTTGTAGTTTTACTTCAATTTTTTAGAAACATTTTAAAGAAAAAATTTGCCCTTACATTTTATGAAGTAAAATTACAAGGCATTGTCATTTGTGTATTTCCCTAACAACATTTTCAATAAGGATTTGAATCCCACTGCCATTTCTGTACATTCATCTCTACTTTTCTAGATTGGCACTGCCTTGTAAATTAAATGTGAAATGTATAGTTTTCCACCAATTCAGATTAGAAAAACAGAATAATGCAGATGTGAGACAGTCCTCCTTTTCAGGTCCCTGTTCTGTGCTGTGGTCTTGAGCAGTTTGGATATCCTGGGGGAGAGAGGAGGACATTAATAATAATAAAAGCAAAAGTTCAGTGGTAGAGTAGACCATTTCACCTCAGAATCAGTCCTTTGTCTTGACCGCTGGGATTTTATCTGTAAACTGCACAGAGTATGATGATGGGCAAAGAACACTGCAGACATACACTGCTTGTTGATGAAAAATACAGGCCATAATTATATATGGGAAGATTTTCAGTCATCCAGGTGCGGTTATAGGGAAGTTGAATCATGGCAACTGGACTTCTTTCTTATTAGGTTGAAACATTTCACTACTCATCCAAATAGCTGTTTCAGTCTGAGGAGAGTTGGCAGGAGACCCCTGATATATGTTGGTTTTACTTCCCCCTGGTCTGAATAGTCTCCTTAGATGGACAGGGGTGGGGAGAATGAAAATCCCACTTCTGCAGTCCTTCTCCACCTATTGTCATGGGTCCTTAACAGCCAGCCTTTAGCAGTGCTCTTTCTGGTGGGTGTGGTCCTGATCTTTCTGGGGACTGATGAAAGGGCAGCATGATAAATGGGAGACAGATTGCATCTAAAACCTTCACCCCCATTGAGTGAGGGATTTTCTATATGCACATGTATGGCCTCCCTGACCCCTCTCTCAAACCCTCTATCTTCTCAGTCCAAAATTAGTGTCATCAAATTAGTGTCTTCTGTCCTTCAAATGAAGGAACACTGCTGATTGCGGTCCTGAGCCATTGCCCCTCCTGTGCTGGGCTATTCTCCTGTGCTTTGTCCATCTAATGAGCCTATTACATGGAGGATATATCAGGGGTCTCCTACCAGTTCTCCCCAGACTGAAGAATGTACTTGGATGAGTAGCGAAACATTTTGACCTAATAAGAAAGAAGTCCAGTTGCCATGACTCAAGTTCCACAGGCCATAATTATTTTCTGTAGATGCAGAGCATTACTAGAGAAATGATATCGCAGTTAGAATGCCCTAAATCACATGTATCAAACTCAAGGCCTGCGGGCCGAATCCGGCCCACCGGGCTGTTTCATGTGGCCCTTGCAATATACCAGGGGTCCCCAACCCTGGTCCGTGGCCTTGGAAGGACTGGGCCGCTGGGACAGATAAGCAGGAGGTGAGCAGCAAGTGAAGCTCCGCCTCCTGTCAGGGCGCTCCCAGCTCTCCTTCCGTTCCCTGCCTTCCTGACATGCCCTGGAGAGGTGGGGCCTAGCTGGCTGGAAGGGTGAGAGGTGCACTTGGGCTGGGCAGAGATTGGGTAGCAGTGTTCCCTTGCTTTCCTCTCCCTCCTCCATGTTGCACCAGGGCTGGCTGGGCAGGGTGGTGAGCCAGGAGGCAGGCTAATAAACCTGATCCCAAGCCCCACTGGGAGATCCATGTGCCTCCCCTTGGCTTCTCCATCTACCCCATTGAGGACAGGCACACTGTCAGGGGTGCACAGCTGTGCGGATAGGCGTGGATCTTGGCCACCTCTGTGCCCTCCAGGCAGCATGTCCAACCTGGACTACCTGGCCACTGAGTGCCTCGTGTTAATTGCCACCAGGGCTCTAATCCACCCACCCTCTAAGGACTGCAATCCCAAGGCCCAGGCAACACCAGAATCCTCCGGGTAGAAACTTTTAAAAAAAAACACATTCTGGTTTTTCAAGATCTGTCTGTTTCTGTTGCTCTGTTCTGAGAACAGTTATGTAACAATTTGGGCAATAAGAAAATCAATGTATTTGTTGTTTTATTTCTGTGAGGACTGATTTTTGAAAAGGTTGCCTATACCATTTTAAAAGCAAGTGTAACATTGGAGTGTACCACTGAGCTCACACTCTTTGTAGTATAGCTATAAAGAGTAGATACATTTATATAGTCTTACAGATACAACCGCCCTTTGAGGGCAACCACAATGCCGATGCGGCCCAAGATTGACACCTCTGCCCTAAACTATTAATACAGCCATAATACAGTGGACCCTCGACTTACAGACGGCTCGACTTACAGACTTTTCGAGTTACAGACTTCTCTGGCTGCAAAATTTAGATTCGACTTGCAGCCAGAGAATCGACTTACAGACCAGAAAAAAACCCAAATGGAATAAAAATAGAATAAAAACCACTGGTTATGTGATTAATCGGTTTTCAGTGCATTGTAGGTCAATGGAGATTCGACTTACAGACTTTTTGACTTGCAGCCACCATTCCAATACGGATTAATTCCTTAAGTAGAGGGTCCACTGTATTTCAAATTGCTTCGTGGTGCTTTCTTCTAAAGTGCCTTTGGAAAGGCATGGACAGATGGATGATGCATTAAGGATACATTTTGATAAGATGCTGTTAATGATTTGTTCAGTAGTTACTGAAAGGATTACATTTGCTACATAACTTTTGTTCTGTAGTGATATAAAGAGTAAGTGTTGTTTGGAAGTGTCAAAAGACACAAAGATCTTAAACTGATAAAACATTAAGGGACTAATAGTACTGTATCTATGTTAACATGGCAACATTTCATTCAAAACAAAGCATTGTTCTATCACTCTTTCTTCCTGCTTCTAGACTTCAGTTTTAAGTTCTTAAAGTCTGGGATCACAATGAAAAATAGATTGCATCCTTAGAACTAGTTCCTATAGTAATAGCTACATACTGCAGGAAATGAACATATTTTACACCCAGTTGTACAAACTGGAA